GCAATGAGCCTCATACCTGCTAGTTTGGCGAAAGGAGCTATTGATCAAATCTTCTCTTGGAGGCCGTCCTACCATATACTTTATAACGGGAGACACAAATAAGCACTCTCAGGGATAAAGGTGCGAAGCGCATCAAACCAACAGAGCATACGAATATCATTTTGTTCTCCTAAAATCCAGGACCAAAGCCTATCATTTGTACGGCGCAAACCTCCTCTAGCAGTGTCTCGTGCGGTGGAGACGATGGAGAGCCCGTGACACTTTTTACACGATCATGCGCTGTTTCAGTTACGTGAACAGACACTCGAACGTGATATATTGTCTGTATATCGCCTTTTGGGGGACAAAGCGTATCGCAGAGCCTGTGGCCCGGATATTAACCTGTTTCTCCGTCCAGTGGTGATTCTTGATCGAGGCGAAAGCCGACTGCCCGCGTATCCACAGTAATATTGGTGGCATGGAAGCTGTACAGTAAAGTAGAGGACTGGCCATGGGTGCATTGCCACCGTCATCATCACTCACAATATATTGATAATATGTGTTCACGTAGCATATCATTAAGAGAGTGCCAGCGACAGGGCGTAGTCATTATGAAGCTTCCAACAAGGCATTGATGTCCGGATCCAACGGCCCTTTAAGGTTCATCCCAAATGTGATGTCAGCATCGTCGAAGACCTCGTAGCAATCCCCAAGATCAGAGGGTGCTTGAATTCCATGACATCGACATATTTGCTAGTGACTCTAGCGAATATATGATGGTAATGTTAAGCTGGTTGGTCGATAAAGCATCGCACAGCTGGTCTAGAATGAAGCCGTCGAAAATCTCGCCGCCAAAAAAACACTGCATATCCTATCGCTATTCAGCCTGTTCTCTCTGCTGTTCTTTCATATTATCTATTCAGAAGTTATAAATCATCTATTTTGCATATTTGTTTCACCAAGTTCCGCTGCTGCAAGCTCTTCTGCTTCATGATGTTCTCCCACCACTAGTACCTAGGCCCGGGTACGCCATCCCCGTGACGGCCGTTGTCTCGGCCGGTGGTGGCGCTCAATCTACGATGACGGCTTGGGGAGCTCCGGCGTCAATCGATGGCAAGAATCATCAATGTCATACGACAAGAGATTATGAAAGACCTAAAGTACATAACGGTTATCCAAGGTCGTTTATGGAGTTCTTGAGTGTTTGCATTTTGAGACGACGTGTAATATCAAAGGTTAGTTGATCTTGTGTCGACATTGAGAAGCCATGAAGCCTGCAGAGCATCGCCAGTCTCAAACAAGTGGGCCAGCGACGAAGGCCAGCCTACGCCACGATCCAATAATTGCCACTGATCGAGGCGACAATGAAAGGTCTGGTAGATCATCAGTGACCAAGATATGGACTCGGAACCATTCTATGTATTTACCAGCCTCGACGTTATAAAGAGATATTGGCAACGTGCATGTGAGTGCACATACTGAGGTTGTCTGTCTTAATTAGGTCTCACCTTGAGTTTCGTGCGAAGGATCAAGCTAGACTTACCTCCACCTTTCAAGAGGAAACAGATGGGGTCCCAATCTATAAACTAGTCTTGCTATTCGTTGACGTTGGCATTTAAATGGATACATTGGTAAGCATCTCAGGTTAACTCCTCTCTCCATCTTTACTGCAACGAGTAATAATACTTTCGTGGTGGACGAAGGATGCTGGGCTTGCTGCAGTCGATGAGCCATGCCACTATGCTGCATATGCCGGTCATTTACTAGCAATTTACCAGAAAACTGGTCAGGCTTACGCTAAGACACTGACCGCAGGATAGTGAATCTACTGTATTTCTCCATTCTTCATGTACTGCTTGCCCCTCTCAACCAGTCGTGCCGCCATAGCTACGGACTTCCTCTTATGAACGAAGACGATATACGAGCCATTGCGATAATATACAGCATTTGTATCCGTAAAAGGACCTTATCAGAGGTGAAGCTACTTTGAGTGGCCATTTACAGCGCTCTCCTTTACCTCGTAAGCATCTTGCGCGATCACATCTCAGTAGTGATGTGTGGCAGGATATCAGTGCAGCAGTGAGTCATACCAATCCTTCAGTAGCACATATAATTGTCTCCAGATTCTCCGCATTCCATGTCAAAATACCGCAATGATGCATTGTGTCACTGCATTGCTCTAAAGCAGGTGTTATGGAGCGCAAATTCTAGCCCACAATCTTCAGCGTTGCACCACGTTGACGGTGGCATCATGGTAGTAGCACCGCCTCCACTACACTTGTCCAGCATTTGCGGGTCCGATAGAACTCCTTGGATCCTCTCTTATGCAGCCCTTGTGGGAATCTCACAACCAAACCCAGAAGATGTATGATGAGCCTGTAACTGGCAATTCCCACGCATCAAAATGGATCCCTTCTTTGCATACCATCGGTCTGGTTGGCTTGCACGCCGCTCCTGAATCATGTGCTTCAGAATGAACAAAACAAAGCCAAATCACGGGATTGTCGAAGAATGTATCAAGCGTATTAGGCCGGGAGCTTGCTGGAAGAGGAAATGCCGACGACCAACACGCTGTAAAAAAAGATTGAGCCAAACACAATGAAATGGCCTTCACTGAACAGGACGCTAATGCTGGGACTTGTTGCTTGCTGTATCCACCACGATATTTCTGGCAGTTGGTTGTTGCTATTGCATTAACATGCTACTAACATCGTAATGTGAACCAATTATCTTGGGAAACATGGCATATTGGGTCTTCAGATCATGTGCGTGTGTACCCGAAGTTTCCCTTGTTATAGGGACGAGTTCCCTTCATTTTTGAGGACTCTCCAAGTGATAAAGTGCACATCGTTTCAACATCCTCAGAAAAGGAAGAGATTAGATAGACAGCGAGATCGAACGGAGAGGCATTTCAACATGGGAAATGTCTGTATTTGCTCTTCTCTCGCCCTTTCCCTTCCCTTCCTTCACTGTGCTCCGTGGCCCTCATCATGAGACGGTATGTTAACCTTGTCCCAGCGAAAAATTACGACCATCCTCTTCGACTGCGATAATACACTCGTTCAGTCGGAGCAGATTGGTTCCGAAGTGTCCGCCGAGATTGTCAATAAGATCCTCGCCTCGCGCCACCTCGATGCTCCCCGCTTCACCGGCACACAGATGCAGCGCGAGTTTGTAGGCTTCACTTTCCAGGCCATGGTATGTACTCTCATAAAAGCTCAATGCCATCCCTGGCCATCGTGGACAAAGACTGTCAGATCTTTGATCGTTTATGTGTGTAGTGGGATGAGGGGCAAAAGGGGGACGTGGAAGCATGGCAACTCGTCTTAATAACACAATCACCAAAATCAGATGCAAGCCATCGAAGTCAAACACAATCTATCCCTCAATCTCACGGCTACTGAACTTGAGACGTACACCAACATGGAAGATTCCCTTGTCATCGCCAACGTATCCAAGCCGGGGAACTTGCTTCCGTGTGTAGGCGTCAATGGGGTGCTTGCGCATCTCGCCTCCGATAAAGTTCACCGTCTCGCCGTAGTGTCCAGTTCCTCCATGGCTCGAATCGCAGCAAGTCTAGCTGCATCCCATCAGGCCAGCTTCTTCGCCGCAGCGGACATCTTCAGCGTCGTAAGCTCCTTGCCCGAGCCAAAATCCAAGCCTGATCCGGCAATCTACCTACATGCGGTGAGCCAGCTCGGTGTGGAGGCTGAGGAGTGCATCGCTGTGGAAGACAGCAGATCTGGTGCTCTGGCAGCAATCAAGTCGGGGATTACGACAATTGGATATACAGGTGCATATGAACTAGAAGAGCAGGAAGCGCAGAGGGAGCTGCTGAGGGAAGCGGGCTGCAAGCTGGTGATGAGTGAGTGGAGCGAGTTTGATGCGTATCTAGAAAAAATCGAAAAGGATGACGGTGTAGACTTATAAGGTTGACATGAATATATTGGCTAAATATTCTTCATTTCTGATCAATGCTTGTAAAGCTCGTAAATCGGTTCAAAATTGTCATACCATTTTTCTACAACCTTATTGCCCCGTCCCGCCGTGATCATCTCTTTTCCAGTCTCAAGCTTTACAGACACCTCGTCCATAAACTCATCAATGCTCATGGCCACTGAATTCCTGGTCTTCTTATTGTCATCCGGATCGGCCCTCTCCCGGTGCAGGTCCGACTCGACCATTGGCGGGGCAATCTCCACCACCCGGATCTTGGACCCGGCACTCTGGAGCTGGGACCGGAGATTCATGGACCAAAAGTGCAGCCAGGCCTTGGTGCCGTTGTAGACGGGGTTGATGACGGAAAACGGGACGAAGCCCAGGACACTGGATACGTTGATGATGGTGGCAGAGGGTTTAGTCTGGAAGTGTGGAAGAAAGCCGAGGGCCAAGTGCATCGGTCCCCTGATATTGATGTCGATCTCTTGGTCGGCCTTGGTGAGAAAGTCGCCATCTTTGAGCACCTCAATTGGTCTCTGCACACCAGCATTATTGACGAGACAGTCCAGGTCAGGATGTTCAGCTATGACTTTCTCAATGAATGCTAGAATGGCAGACGTGTCACCAGTATCGAGTAAGTAATAAGCAGCGGCGGAAATTTCCTTTGCGCTTTCTTGGAGCTTCGACTCGGTTCGACCAGCGATGATGACTTTCTTGTCCTTGGAGATGAAGTACCGCGCAAGGGCTTTGCCAATACCCCCGCCACCTCCAGTGACGAGGACACAATTGAATTGAAGGCCGTCTTCTTTGCCTTCCATATTGTCGAATTGTTAGATCAGTGAGTGAGAGACTGTATTTCTGGAACCACTTGAGGGTGGAGTCGCCTTTCCAGAGTTGTTATTTGCTCACATCACTATGAGAGCAGACGCCAGTGGACGACGTCATGGACTTGGTTACGGGATTCGATAGAGGTGATGACATACTCGATGTACCGTTCAACCAAAAAAACTACTACAAGTGACCGCCATGGTAAAGAGTGATTAGGGTAACATTGAAGAGTAGGAGAAAAAAGCAAAAAGAAATGTCCTCGGTGAGGCTCGAACTCACGACCTTCAGATATCCCAATCTGATGATTGGATCATATTAGAAATATGAGACTGACGCGCTAACCAACTGGGCCACGAAGACGCTTTTGATTGATTGAATGGCTGTTCATGCAAACCTAAGAAGTGTAGAATGCCGACGAGAACAATCTAGTCGATCAAACATGCAGAGGCAAAGAGCTTCCAAAATGGACGAGGCAAACGCCCATACCATCTATTCCGTACATACCTAGGTGGGTATCTATAGATGTGCTCAACCATTATCATAATTACCATGCAGTTATCACGGTGATTCAATACAGTTCGTTATAGTTATTCATTCCGTTGGTCCTGGAATTACTCTCTTCCGTGGAAGCTCGAGCAAAACAATTCCAATAGACGGACCCCCCGCTTCACTGGACTTGATGCCCCTCCTCCGTCCGAGATGCACGTCTCGTCACTCCGGCGCTTTGCTCTCTTCCACTCCCCTTCCATTAGCCCATCATTTTAAATACTACTGAGCAAACATTACGACGCTATTCAACTGCAGCTTACACCGTAATAGTCATTCCGTATTTTCATTGGATATTTGTCATGTGCACCCAAAGGGGTCCGTCCGCATGTTGACGGAGACGAAACCATCACGTTCGGAGGAGAGGGGTCGAGATGCCCGGATCGTCATCAACGGATTTCCTCCGCAGCCACCAAAGCCTTGTTCCGCCGTCTCTACACGATGTTGCTCTCCATTGGCAAGAATCGAAGATGTGTCAGAGAAGATGCAATGTACAATATACAACATTAATTCATGTAAATATTTAAATAGTAGGGTGTCAGTCATCAAGTAAAACAACTACCATCTTGCTTCAATCAGACCTGGAGTCTTTTGACATCAACCTTCTGGAAAGGCTTGTACTGACATTCATCTTATTCATTCATCATGCGCACTTCATTCATTACATTTGTCCTCGTGGCCTTTTCTGGTCTGGCCGCTGCCCACTTTGAGTGTATGCTTTCTTCACACATCTCTACAAAAGTTCAGGACAGGTATCCTAACTGACGACATCATCATCGCAGTGAAAATGCTCAGTGAGGCATTCGAGCCAAGGGTACTCCTACCAGAAACAGCCTCTTGCATGAATAAACTGAATCAATCGACGCTAACAGTACCCATATCAGTCACTGAAGGAAATCGGGTTCTTGCACGGAGCACTGCACATGCCAGTCAACCATGGCTCGGGGAGCTTCCATTGACCAACTTCATCGATGAAGCCCCTCTTCAACGGGTATACAAAGGGTCATCTGATGGATGTGCTGCAACGAGATCAATAGATATGCTCACCACCATTGCTCGGATCATCGTTCTCTTTGCTGCCGGCGTCTCAGCTGCAGCGTGGGGCTGGAAGGATGGCACATGCAGAGGGGTAAAATGCTGCGCGTTACTTCTTCTTATCGTCTACTTTCAGTCTCGCACCCTGAACGCTTAATTTACTGTTGCGTTTATGCGGGGCCGGAAAACCAACAAAGCGTCTTTACATTGTTGTTATTTTATTCACCTCGGACATGCCTTGCAACATTAGCGGGTCACTCCTGGTGGATCTATTCAACAATCTTGATGGCCCATACGCCAACATATCTTCAAATCTTTCAGCTGATCTAGCTTGTGGATATCATGATGCGAGCGGAGAGTGTGGATGGTGCCCTTATTCCATAGTCCATTGCAATCTTTCATCAACACGGGAGATTATGCCCCTGTCATTTATGTATTATATAGTGTATTTATACCGCGTTGCCAACTATTCACCCAACATCTATGTGCCTTCCATTTCCTCCTCATCAACAGTGCTTTGCAATGCCAGACATCGATATCACTCATCGAGTTACTCTGCTTGTACTCCACACGTCACCAAAAGATCGTACAGGCTCTGGTCAACAAGTTGAGAATAAAAGTAGCCGGAAAGTAGCCTTTGTAACTGCCTTAAATAATACCGCCATCCAAGCACAGCAATATCTGCGGCAGCACAATATTCAGGATTTGGAAGATTTCTACTACTCATTGACGATTTCACTACGCAGCCCCTCCGGAAGGGCCATCATTCTAAGCTTCCTGAGTAAGCTCGCGTCTTCTATTTCATTTCAGCCAGGCTTCCGTTATAAAATTACGGACAGAGATCAAGTCTTCCGACTCGAGAGCCCCGAATGTAGAGCCGGCTCGGCTCCTAGAGTGGCCGACTTTGTTCGCTAAGAGGCTGGGCAACTACCTTGACACCTCAACCGGGAGCAGTGGGAGTACCATCGCCTGCATGCACCAGTCTTGGGCAAGTTCATCGAGCCATGTAATATCCAGGCACAGACTGTTCTTGATATAATCGTAGCCCACGGGAAGCTGGTACTGAATCTAGACATGCAAATGGGCCACCAGTGATTCCAAACCGGAACACCCATTTTACTGGACGTTGACCTTAAGAAGGGAAATCAATACAACCTTGGCCACCTATGTATAGCTAAGACCAGAAATTCCATGGCCCAATATTTATTTTATTTTATTGAACCCCAAAAAAACATAGAGTTTAACGTTGATACTTGCATCGCCAGGTTTTTTTGCTGTCCCTATTGTCGAAGCGATACACAACAAGACGGGGACGGCGGCCATGATCAAAAGTCCCTCTCTACACACATCATACGAAAGTCGATAGATATTGGATGTAAATTTCTAGCAAAAGTATGTATAGTATGGCCCTGTAAAACAAAGTCACATGGTGTCGTATAAGAAGTGTATATGAAAGTCTAAATAAGTGCATAACAGAAGGCCAAATTGCGCCGTTAAATCCGAAAGATGCAACTTGCAGAAGACTTGGGAAATTCCCAATCTTTAAATCCTCCCTCGGGGCATATTGGTCCCGATAGAATCGAAAAAGTCCTCCCGAGAGACCCTCAGTGGCCATTGACGTAAATGACATCTTTAGAGTTGAATGTAAGATTTGTAGGAAACTTAGTCCCTGAATGCTAACCTAAAGGAAACCAACGGGCTCTGGAAGATTTATAAAATTGTCGGCTATCTTCGCATGCAATCGGCTTATAGGGTATCTTATCTTTGTTGGGCATCTCTGTCTGACCCTCCCTGCTCAGTGTTCTGGTCATCGAAATCCTTACATGCATTACCCCAGTAATTCCCCCCATCATCTTCGAGATGGTTGGGTAGCACTGCACTGCCCTGCGGTATGGGCGGCTTCATTTTAACCTTAATGCTTAAGGTCGATGATCCCGAAGAGCCCTATTTGCAACTCTGTCCCTGGATTACGCGTCACGCAGACTGCCAAGTCCAGCCCTGCGTTTCATTTACCTCATATCCAAACGTCCATGTGTATCGTCAAGGGCCGTTTCAATGCTCCCTTGAAGCGCGTGGCATCTGCATTCATCGTGGCGCACCCTCTGGTAATAGCGTTCTTCGCTATTCGTCTTGGCGCCTATCAACTGCCGCGTTATTCTCGTCGTATGATGATGATGCTATTTGTATGCATCTTATCTTCGGAAGTCTCTTCATGCTTTCACGCACGTATCATGAGGCTCGTTAACAATGGTTCCCTTGATGTCACCCTGTCAAACATCTGGGGGAGAAAGGCAAAAAGCTCGAGCCATGCAGTCGATATCCCTTTTAACCCGTATTGGGACATGGTCTCCTTTCGATACGACTTTTTTACCCCTTTATTTAATAACTTGTTTGTCCGCGTCTCAGTTGCCAAGCAAATCCCCCAATATCATCCCCATGCCCCGTTGCCAAGATGCTGCACAGCCCCTTTAGCCCAGGCTGTTGGATCCTTGGCCACAGGCGCAGAAACCCACTGGTTGCACTCACTCGCATGCACTCTGAACCACTGGTTTGCTTGGCTCGACTTGGCTCATGAATTGCATTGCAGTTTTAGATCAAGTCAAGTCAGCAGCCTGTTTTCTTTTCTTGTTGTACCCCTACCTCTAGCCTGTCGCATTCTTCCATTCTCCCAACTAGAGTGCATCTTCGCATTTTCTTGTCTCTCACTTGACTCATTGTTTTATTACTCTTTGCATAGATTTCTGGTATCTCAAGTTTCGTTGTGGGCGACAAACCTTGCTTGAAGCAAGTTTGCGCCTCTGTTGGAATTCTGATCCCTCGTTTGATACCCGCAACCTTGCATATTCAAGGTTCCTGCCATTATTATCGTTTCTTTACTACCTTTTCTTCTTGATCTGAGACCTCATGCTTTTCGCCTTTGTTGTCCCTCATTGATTCTACCCTCGTTTCTTCGTCATCTTCTTCTGACACCTCCAACCATGCCTTCACGTCGCTTGGGCCTTGCAGGCTCGGTTGCAGGCCTTTGCTTCACAGCAAGTCTGCTGCTCCATGGCGTCGAAGCCATTTATTCGATCGATACTCCAGGTGAGACCGATTCTATCAACCTATCCTTTGCTTGCATGGCAAGCGGCCTGCTAACACACCCCGCCATGGTTTGCAGACAATATCCGCCAATCGGCCAGCACATTAGCCTACGACATGATGCTTTTCTACCCAGGCAATAAGTCGGGACAGGTCCCTGGAATTTTGCCTGGACCACCTACGGAGAACAAGGGCGACTATTACTGGTGGGAGGGTGGTGCCATGATGGGCACATATGTCGACTACTGGCATCTCACGGGCGACTCGAGCTACAACAAGGTGGTCATGGAGGGCTTGCTGCACCAGGTCGGCGAGCACGAGAATTATATGCCACACAACTACACCGCATCACTTGGCAACGACGATCAGGGCTTCTGGGGCATGTCTGCTATGCTTGCTGCCGAAACCAAATTCCCCAACCCACCTACAGATAAACCACAATGGCTAGCCTTGGCTCAGGCTGTATGGAACACACAAGCGGATCCTAGCCGACATGACGAAACATGTAATGGAGGTTTACGATGGCAGATTCCCTTTTCCAACGCCGGTTATAATTACAAGAACAGTGAGTTCACTGCAATGCAAATGTCCCATTACTTTCGCTAATATGTTTGTGTAGCCATCGCCAACGGCTGCTTCTTCAATATTGGCGCTCGTCTCGCGCGATACACGGACAACAGCACGTACGCCAAGCATGC